GCCAGATACATATGTATAGATTTATACGGGGTTGACATCCCCACCTGCGGTTGCTAAGTACAACCTCGACTGATCAATGGAAGCAGGTGATAAGTGTCTACAATCGTTACTATGACGTATAATGAAACGACGTAGGGGGTACATACAGTCACATAGCTCGGCTATAGGACTCACTATAAACATTAACTAAACTCTCTCTCTCTCTCTCTCTCACACTACAAACCATGGATTTGGTTGATCTCAAGTTTATTTAAGTATGGAGTTACATATGATACATTTTGAAAATTCAAATCTTATTTACAAACACTCTTTTTATACTTACAAAGAAAATACTTTTTAGACCTTTTTAAAAGTATTATACTGCTGTTAGCAGAAAACCTGTGACTCTCACCAACCTTGTGTTGACGTTCAAAATACATGTACTCTTAGGAAATCAGTGATTTTGAGCATTTCAGACATTGGGAAAATCATGGAATGCACGCAATTTAAATTCTAGTTTTTATTATGTTAAGCCTATCTGTTATGGCAATTCATGTATTACTATTATCTGTAAAAACCCTATATTCAAACGGAAAGATGGAATACAAATGTTGTTTTGTTTATTGTTGTACTTGTGCTATATATATTCAGTTTATCTGTGATCTATGTACTTAGTCGCGCAACCCGACATGTCCTACCGCCTCGGCCGGGGGTGTGACATTTATCAAGCATTCTAAGGCGTCCCTAATGGTAGTCATACTCTAAGGTTATCTAACGTATTACTATGAGCCCCCGAAAACGACGTTGTGTGACTAATAATTGTGCCCCACCATGACGCTTCATCGGACGTCGAATAGTGAATAATAAGAAAGTTATCACGCCAGGATTGTAACTAGCAATCGCAGGTGGGGTTGTTAGACCCCGTATAGATCTAGACATATCTTTCTAGCTCTCGCAAGATTAATGATTATAGGAATATGGGGAATGCCGAATTTAATCAAGGCCTTTGGATGAATTAACAGCTCACTAACACATTAACCTTAGCTATTTATCTTTTATATTTTATCTCTAATATTTTATCTTAATCCTTCCTACGAATTTCCTATAACTATCACAATATAAATCCTTTATCTTATATTTGATAATTATAACCTTTGATCTCATAATTATTATTATTATTATTATATATATATATATATATATATATATATATATATACACCCTAATTATGGTTATTTGAAAACAAGATATTTGGGTAGAGTGACAACTAAGTAGACTGCATATCCTTATATTTGACCAACACAACTTCAAGGAACACCGTTATCCTAGGGATTTGACCATTATAACATCTAGATATTATCTCTTCCTAGACTATCAGACATCATATCTCTTAGGCATAATATTATAGCTTATAACTAGGCATAATATCTATAGCCACATTATCTTAAGGCTTTAAGCTTTATAAAATAATTTGATATTTATAGCAATAAATATATTTTGATAAAAACATTTAATAAGCATGTATTCCCCCCCCCCCCCCCGTAATTTTAAAATAGTGAAAATAGGGGCCGCTTACTCACTCTTGTAACGTAATCTGAAGCATCCGAAGCTTCGCGCCATCGAGAAGGTTTCCAAAACGAATTGAGAGGTATAGAGAGAGTGTTTAGGATGAGAAAATCAGATGGTGAACACCTGTATTTATAGGGGTTGTGTGTGTGGTGGACTTCATGCGCGACATGCACTCGCTTTGTGGCTCCATCCAAAGCTTGCCATGTGTCACACTTCTGATGGTCCACGTCTCCCTAATCTTCGACGAATCTGGGTGTCTCGTGTGCGTTTCGGGCATGACGCGCACCTGGCGTGCACCCCTAAATCTTTTATAAAAATATCATATCTTCCTTAAATAAAAAAAAATCATATCTTCCTTATACCTGACGTGCACCTGGCGTATTTTATATTTTTCTAAAAATCGTATCTCCTTTATACGAACTCCATTTTTGACCTTTTTCCTTTCAAAGTCCTTATCTCACGGGTTCCTACGATATTGATTTTATTTACATTAGCCGAAACTTAACTGATCTCTTTATATTATTTTGACGCTAGTAGCGTTATTAACGCGGTTGGTTCATATCTTTATAAAATCATAACTCCTCCAATCGGAGTCAGATTTTTGCGACGTTTATATCATTGGGATCATTCTATTGTGTATTTTCCAAATACACTAACCATCATAAAAGTGACATAACTTTTTGGTCACTCATTTTTTACTCTATTATTATCATCTAACTGGTCGTATTTTCTTTTAATCTGAAAGGTTCTATCATTGATGCTAATCTTTAGTAATACTATTGGTCATGGGAAATTCCCAATTGTTACACTCTCCCCCTGCTTTAGGAATTTCGTCCTCGAAATTCGGACCTTATGGTTATCTTAAGTGGGGAGACCAGTTTCTTAATCAAGAAGTCGATTCCTTTTTCCCTACTTATTGGGATAACTAAATTTCCTTTTTAGTTTTCCACTTTTAATTCTTCAATTACCATGAAACATTTGTCTTTCGGAATCCCATTTGATCTTATCCTTATTTTACACCAATAGGAAACCTAAATCTCTTATCTTAATATTGGTATGGATTTCTGGAAGGATTTCTATATATATTTGACTATCATAATCCTTTACTTAAATTAGACACACACACACACACACACATATATATATATATATATATATATATATGTATATATATATATATATATATATATATATATATATATATATATATATATATATATATATATATATATATATATAAGAATGTTGAGTAGAACTACAAGGGTTTCCAATTCCATTGTTCAGCCATTACATAATTATTCCTATGGAGCTTTTTCCCTAAATCTCCTTATTCTAACATGCACTGTTTCCTTCTATTGGCCTGGTTGACTTTTGTAGACGTTGGTGATGTGCCCTAGCCTTCCGCAGTTGTTACATCTAAACTTCTCATATTTTCTTAGATGATAAAGTCCACACTTACTGTACAAAGGGAATCTTCCCAAGTATCCCCTTGGCCAAGTGGGAGTATGAGGCTTCCTTTCCTCTTTTGCCTTCCACATGGGCCGAATAAATTTGGCCTTAACGATTCCTCCCCACTTGTTCTTAAGTTCTTTAGACTTCTTCTTACTCCTTCTTGGGTTCTGGGGCACATGATCCTTGAGACTGAAGGCTAAATATTTAGCTTCCTCATAGGTATTGGGTTGGTGTGACTGCACCTCGACTCTGATATGGGGAGCTAACCCTTGGAGATATGCATTGATCTTCTGGATTTCCGAGTTGACCACTTCATGGCATATGGTGACTAGGTACTCAAAGAGTATCGTATAGAAAGCCAAGTCTGACCCTTTGGTCCTCAGATGATTGAATTCCTATTCGGATCGTGCCACGTCTATGCCAAAAAGGAATTCTCTAATCATATGCATCTTCACCTCTTCCCAGGGGGTTGTATAGGCTTGGTCTACTCCCAAAGCCTTGACCTGGATACTCCACCATAGGAGAGCTCTTCCCATGAACATGCAAGTTGCGAACTTGATCCTATGTTCACTAGCACACTTGCTCTCTATCTCTCTTGCCCAATAGATTACACTATCCACTAATCTATCTCCATATAATGATCTCAACTTACTGTTGAGAAAATCTTTATAGGTTCTTACTATTTGGTTATCTTCCTTATTGATTCCCTCTTCCTTGTTAGCTTTGATATTCCCTAATGCATCAGCGACTTGACGCTGAATCATGATCTGAATGGTGGTTAGGTAAATCAAGGTTAGCATAGTAGGGTTGTTGTCCTAAAACAACGACAAGAAGGTTATTTAGTGTTCGTAAGGGGTTAACACTACTTTTATATTTGTAGGGTACTACAGTTTCTCTCCTAGCAACCTGTCTTCTTATCTCTTTGATAATTAAAGACTTTATTGGTATCTTTTGTCACTTCTTTTCTTATTATGAAATTGTTGCTCTCTGAACGACCTATAATTTACTGATGATTGCAATGCTACTGTTTCTTCCCTAGCAACCTAAATAATTTACTAGTTATAGCATGCCACTGTTTCTCCCCTAGCAACCTATATAATTTACTAATTATAGCATGCTCATGTTGCTTCCCTTAGTAACTGTTAACACGCTGTCGCGGGCGTATTAAGCAAATAAATATATCACTGCTGTTTGCACTAAAAGTATAACACAGGGAAGCAGGGTCGAATCCTCAGGGACATAGCCTAATGGTTAATGCCTTTTTGCATCAGACACATTCTAGTCAAAACATAAATTATAAAAGGGGGATTTTGAATAAACTAAAAAAACTAAAACTGCAGTGAAAATAAACTAAACGAAAATCAAAAATAAAAATGATTTAGTTCTGCTGCGATTTTCCTAATCATGCAACTAGCACTACTAGAAAAACAGCCTTTTACGACGCGCAATGCGTGTTGTAAAACGCTCAGACGACACGCAAATGCGTGTCAAGGAAGGCCCTGTCATAACGGAAGACGACACACTTTTGCGCGTCATCTATTTATGACGCGCATTTACGACGCGTAGTTACGACACGCAATGCGTATCACGCATTTGCGTGTCATAACCTTACGACGCGCGTTTATGACATGCAATGCGTATCAAGGAAGCCCCTGTCATAAAGGAAGACGACACACATCTGCGTGTCATAAATTTCAGCTGGCAGTAACGATACACATTTACGACGTGCATTTACGATACACATTTACAACGTGAATACACATAATAAAAAAATAAAATATACCAAAACATTAAATTTCATCTAAATGTCAAACAAGTTACCTGACATTACATGTCAAACAAGTTACGAAACATTCAATTTCATCTTCTAAAATACACAACAAAACTTCATAAAACAACAGTTATACACCCACCATAACAACTCATATTTACTTCTCATGTAGGGAAACACTTTAACGAATTTCAAGAAAATGGTAAAAAGTTACCCAACAAAAAAGATTCTAACAAGCATCCTGATCATGCTCCAAAAACGTGTTGATAGGAAGGATCCTTGTCATTTGAGAAACAACCAAAAAGCCTGCACATTCATTACAATCAAATCCATGTAATTTAAATGGACGAATGAGAAACAATGGACTTTAAAAACTTACATGTAACTAAAAACCCTGCACATTCATTACATACCATTCCAAGTTCCAACCGCAACATTCTTAGCATGCTGCAAGAGAAACCACCATTAATTCCAGTCTATACATCAATAGAAGTCAAATGCATAAACATGTGTTAAAAAAGCTAATTTGATGTCTTCCATCAAATAATTCCAATCTTTAGTTTTTTGATTCCATTAGTTTCTGAAGGATTACTTGCACAATTCATAAGCCAAACTCTACTTTAGTTACCATGGCATCTTCTAATTCAAACAACAAATCCCACATATAACTTTGTGCTTGTCATATTTATCTCATATCTTATATGTATAAAAGAACCCAGCCATAATCACATAGCCCACAAAATGAAATTGGTAAATAACTTACTGGTAACAAGCGATTTGATTTGAATCCTTGATGAAGTTCAAATGATGAAATTAAAAGCTTCACTGCACGAAACTCGATAGACTGATTGTGTCCTCTATCTGTAAACTCAATTAACTGTCGATCAAGAAGATTCTCAAAAGCCTGCACATTTTTTATTCCATAAATACCAAAAATTTCTATTAGCATGTATTAATATAATAATAGTTAATTATATTAAAATGATAACAATATTTTACTGAAATAAAAGAAAATTAATCGTAAATTGGTAATTTAATTTCAAAATTAATGTGGAAAAAATTGATTTGTTAGAATAGGATAAAGGGTGACAAAAGGGTAAAAAAGTAATTGTTGTTGATGTTATTACTTTAGTTAAAGATGCAACTGCATTTGAAGTAGAAAATAGCTTCACTATCAATGCCAAAACCCGAACAGTCCCCTGAAAGGAAATATTTAAAATATGAGAGATAGAAATTGTATAAACTTACATGTATAATTACAACATACTTAACCTTAAGTGAAAACTTTGATTTACAGCATATACTGACCTTTTTGTTTAAGTAATTTTCAAATATTGGAAATAAAAGTGAGACATTATATTTTCCATGTTTGTCAATGATCATGATACCAACATTAATCATCCTTCCTCGAACATCAGCATTGGTATCAGCCTGTAGTTGAAATCATCAAAAGTTTGAAAGCTGCATTTGTATAGTATCTAATCTAACTATCAAAAACTTTGAACAAAAAATTAAAACTTTACCAAGGCTCGAGATATCAAGAAAGTCATAACAACCGGAAGGTCTTTGGTTCTAAGTACATCAGTTGCAGCATGTAAAGCCAATGCAATCCCTTGTCTCCCTAACCAACCAGAATCAATCATATCCTCACCAACACCACTATAACGGATATAGAGAGGAACAAAGTCGCTATAGATTTCTTGAACATATATCAATGTGTAAGTGTAAGAGAATACGTGTAACATATTTAAAATAAATAAATTAAGAATTGGTAGCAAATAGTAATCACCTGTAATGTATCTCGGTACTCATCTAATATAGTAGCTAATGTATCAGAAGCAGCCACACGAACATTATAATTCACATGAGAAAGAGCTCTAAAGAGTCCAGAATAATCACTCCCAAATTCGTGGTCATAACGATCCCATAGGTCCTCAGCCACTTCAGCCACCGACTGGATTACATATAATGTGGTAAAGACTTGATATGAACTAATTCCAATCGAATACATGATTAAAAAAAGTTGAATCTTCTACCTTTTCGGGATCATGTAAGGCAATCCAAATGCTGGTTGCAATTTCTACATCTTGAGGAACAGATCGGCTGAATATAGTTGGGATGCATTTTGCAACATTTAAAGAAGCTAGTCTAACATGAAGGTCTTTCGCATAAACACTAGATAAAGCCTGAGGGCAGAAATGTCAAGAAACGTTAGGCTTATAAGGGAATCAAGAAAATATGGTTACATTACTAATAATTAAAATGCTACATACAGGTGCTACTTCTTCAGATTGCAAACCAAGACACAAACTCAGTTAATGCTGGTCCAACAGACCCTTGATAGGACGGTATAGCCCCAAGAACATGATATAGAACCTGCCACGTAGCACAAAGTATCCATATGTTAAGCAAAATAGAAATGAAAATGAAAAAAGAAATAATGTGTAAGTAATTAGAAACTTAACTAAAAGCATTATAAGTCTGGGGAGGGGTAATATTGGGTCCATATGTAGGAAAAGTATCTGAAGTACATCACCATGAAGCCTTGTCCTCTTAGGAGATAGCCAATCTTATATAATGTTATATATAAAGAGTAACCAGTGAGAGTAATCCACTATATGTGAAAACAGGATTAGCTATAACCATTGCTCCTAAAGCTTTCAGTAACAAGGAAATATTCTTCTTTATATTCATGACCTTCTCACGGACATTGCAGTAATGGATTCACAAACATTAGCCATTGCTCCTAAAGCTTCCAGTAACAAGAACGAGCACGAAATCAACCTTCGCAAACCCGTATAAAAAACCAACGACCAAATCTGAAACCATGAACTCTCGAACAAAATCAACAAAATATTAGCAAAAAGAGTAAAGTCTGTATGTACTTTTGTGTTTCATAGAATAGAATATGTGATGTGATATTAACCTGAATAAGTTGGTCCTCAGTTAGAGCTGATAAACTAAGTAAAATGGGAAAACGTCCTATAAACTCCGGAATCTGTCCATAAGCTATAAGATCACTACATTCAACCTGAATAAGAAAGACAGAAAATAATTAATTATAGGAGAATGAAATATTGAAGTAGGGAAAGGCTTGAAAGCTTACAGATTGAAGTAAAGATTATGTGACTGAAGCGTTAGTGAGTTTATCATTTCTCATATTAGCACGAACAGGTGCTCCAAAACCAAGGATGCTTTCTAGCCCCTTTCTCGTGTACATTGACTATCTGTGCAGAGAGAGATTATAAACAATAGTAATACTTGGTGTTACAGCCTGAAAGTTTTACATAAGGGACAAGAAGGTGGTGACATGGCTTCTTTCATTTTCAGATTCATAATATTTTTTATCTTCTAGTGTTGATCCTTCTTTTTAACATTTATATCTATTGGATTAGAACCATCGTTACAACACTGTCATATTATAACTTAATTATTCATCAAACATATTCTATTTCTTTTCAAAATAGTTGTTCATGTTTCAAAAACATCTCAAAAGTGATATGGCAAACATGGGGAATTGAAGGAAAACATAAATCATGGTTACGACTTTCTCTGTTAACTTGTTCTTCCTGTACAAAGTTGTGACAACCCGAAATTTTCTATCCTGTTCAGTCTAACACTTCTCTGAAAGTCAAACTCATTCCTGCTATCATTTAGCACAATTTGGAACCTGTCTGAATGTTCTGAGCCTTGTACACTTAAGGGATAAGTGTCGGGGTTTATCTACTGAATCTATAGTACAAAGAACGAGCCTGAAACACTTTGACCTGGAGTTCACGGCCACCACATGAGAGTTTACGGCCGTAAACTCCATGTGGGCCGTAAACTCCACCTAATATGATGAAAGGGTGGCCATTAGTTCATTCCTTTCTTTCCCTTGGCTGAAATCCTCTCAGGTATCATCCCGATCTTCGTCCCCGATCTTCAAAACTCGTAAGTTTCTTGCCCTAACTAGTTGATATCTTACATGAACTAGTGATCTTACATGATTTCATCCGTGAAATCATTCCATTTGTGTAGATCTTCAAGTTTCACCAAGAACACACACTAGTGTTCTTGGCCAAAAATGACCATTCAAGCTCCTGGATCGTAAGTACTCTTGTTCTAACTCGTTGTACACTAGGGTTAACATGTTTAGAGCTTTGAAATCACAAGGAAACACAAGATCAAAGGAGTTTACGGCCAAGACATGTTCTTGGGCTGTAAACCCCTATAAGTGGGGAAAATTGCACCCTAGTCCCTTCCTAAGCCCTGGATGCTAGTCTTGATCCTTCCTTGGAGTGTCTAGGACCTTAAACAACAAAGAAAACATATCCCCATAAGAGTTTACGGCCGTAAACACATAAGGAAATGGTCCTTAGGCCGTAAACTCTATTAGGTGGTGATATTGTGCCCCTAATGCTTCCTAATGACTAGAACTTAGCCTAGAACCAATCACAATTGAACTAGGAACCTCAAAACATCAAAATGGTACTTCCCATCATGAGTTCACGGCCATAAACTCATGGGGAAGTGGTCCCTAGGCCGTAAACACAAGTTAAGGTCATTCTTGGACCTTAAACTCACCTAGCCTCTTGTTTAGCCTTGGAACACTTGACCACTTAAGACATCATACCTTTACGCCTTAAATGGAGACCCGTTAGAGAGTTTACGGCCAGGAGTAAACTCCCCTGGGCCGTAAACTCCATTAAGTATGGTCCATTGACCATAAACTCACTTACAATGCCTTGCAATCTTTTGTTGCAACCCAATGGCCTCCTAACACTTTGACTAAAGTGTTTTCCACGCCTTAGAATGCTTATACTTGTCTAATTAGTGTTATAATCACCAATTGTATATATGCATATGTCTTTATATGTTATTAGGATCATTGTGTGTGTTTAAGTCTTCACTTGACACCTAGTAATCCTATATCATCAGTTCATCCAAACCACTCACTACAGGTGAGTTCATACCCCTTAATCAACCTTTTTAAATGTTTTTAAATGCTTTTATGGGGGGATACAAGTTGATCTATATTAGTTATTATATCAATCACATGTGATTAATAACTACCAAACAAGTGGTTTTCTTACTTTTCAAACTATGTTACCAAACTGTTTTACTTCAAACTGTTTTACAAACTCTTTTACATGTCGAACACTTTTATTAAACACTTTTAAACTTATATTATGTTATATTGACAAATGCATGCCTATATATGTATAGTTATATAAGTAATGTTTAAAGGACTTAGGAAGACTAGCTCGCCCTATTCCCTTTTCCTCGTTTGGATGTGGCCTTAGGGTATCGGTTATTCGTCCGAATGTCGTCTAAATATTAGTTATATATCATGTATACATATATAGACATAAAAGTTCCTTCTTTCATTCAGTTCAATACCTTTGGGTAGCAAAGGCATACATGGATGTTTATACACTCAAATCATATTACTAGTAAGCTACTATAGGTGTAGCTTAGGGAATTACTAATACTATTACTAGAACAATGAATCATACAATGAGTCAATTCATACATGAGTCAATACTTGCTAGATAGGGAGAGAACACACAATACAACTAGCACACCCGGTACATTACAATACAGGCTAGACAGAGAGAGAACATACATTACAGCTAGCACACACAGTACATTACAATACAGGCTAGACAGAGGGAGAACATACATTACAGCTAGCACATTAATTACATATACAGTTTTGCAGTTATGTGAGCCACGTTCCGGGGCATGGCACTACCTGCCATGGCCGTTCAGGTATCCAGAATCTCCTTAATTAGGGAGCATATGAGTTTGCGTATAGCTATACTGGATTGACTATCCTACACCTCGCTGCTAGCTACAGTAAGACTTACAAGTCTATGGGTGCCAAATGTCATTTTTCTCCGACATCTTACATTGTCGCGTACTATAGTCGGTAGCAGGATACAGACCGATCACATGGTACTTTAAATTATAATTAGTTTAAGGTTAGTACAGTAGTAGTTACTTAATACAACACTACAGTACTATTTCATTTTCCCATTACATTTACTTTGTGATATTCATACAATAAACAATAATGTAAAAACTATATTTTTGGTTAATGATAGTTAGAATTGGGAAAATACATACTCTTACAAGAGACACACACACAGATACTAGATGCCTTGGTAGAAGGCTACTTTTAGTAGGAAACATAGGGTTTTCTAGGAGGTTCAAAACTTTTACATACTTATGCTTCACATACTTACAAATACTTTCTTACAAATACAGACACTAAAATGCTTATGTTCTCACCAGCTTTAAAGCTGATATTCTCTTCAAAATAACTTGTATCCTCAGGTCACCAGTAGACAGGTACCAGTGCAAGGTTTAGAGAAGATGGAGCTCGTTCAAGACTCATCTTTCATTTTGATTTATATTTTGGTGTCTATATAACTTGACAGAACACACTTGTATAAAAATTATATTATTAATGCAATGGATGATGTTGTTGCTTGTTTACTACTATTCATTGTTGTGATACTGTACTTGACGTCCTCCGCCCTAGAACGTTTCCGCCGTTCATGGTTTTGGGGTGTGACAAAAGTGAGAAAGGAACACCTCTATATTTAAGGCCCTATTTTTCATTGCACACTACCGGAAATACAAGGAATAAATAATGAGAGCAGATTTGTAACAAGTTTATTTTTTTTACTTTCAGCTTTAAGTCAAAAAGAAATACATGCATTAAGTGTTATCTATAAAAGATATCTAAAAAAGGACAGTAAAATTGGGGAAAATTCAACAAACAGTTGGTGTGCACAACCAAAATCCACATAAAAATAGAATTCCTCTACATTTTAAAGGCTTGAAAACCAACAGCTAAACAATGAACACAACTTAACATGAATACAGTGGGAGGAACTGGGAAACATGAAGCCCTATAAATACAAAAAAAAAAGCATTCAACACCATTGAATCCCTGTTAAATAGCCATACAAATACACCCTTATTTCTCCATCACAAAACAATCACCAAACATCATATCCCCAACACCCATTTACAACCTTGAAGCGCCACCTTACAACCTCACATTCAAATCGAAAAACAAAATTACAAGAAGGGAGAAGAAGGGGATGTAATCGAACCAGAAAAGGAAAAAACAATACCTGTGGTTCTTGGAGGTGCGATCGATTTTGAGAAAGGAAAAAGATAACCGGTGATTTTAGGTGACCTGGTTTGTCGATCGAAGTGTGAAGAGGGAAGAAGACATCCGATCGATTAAAGGGAGAAGGAAGGAATGAATTTTGGAGACTATGGTTGTTGATCAATAATTAAGAAAGGGAAGAACGAGATGCAGGAAGGGTTTGAACATACCATTTTTACGATCTCTTGTAAGCATGAGAAGTTACTGTAAGCTCTAAGAATTATGTGAGGTCCAGTTCAAAGCCCTAGTATCTTTATTGCTTATGTGAAGATGGGCCATATTCGAAGCTACAAAGATGAAGACCGACCATATCTGAAGAAATTTGGGCAAAGGTATGGTTAGATCTGATTCAAAGAGTATCTATAGATATCAAAGTGACCATGGAATTTTCAGAGCTTCATTAATTAGCTCATGGAAAAGAGAAGGGGTTTTAGGCTGGTAGAAGATGCAAATAAGGCGGGGTTTTAATTTTTTGGGATTTGATTTCCCCCCTTAGCGATTAAGGATGAAGAACGCACGTTTGATGAAAATTTTATAAAATGACACGCCTTTTATGCTGAGTGCCCTCCGTGTTTTTTTTTTGTCTGACACTAATTTTAAGGGCACGCAAAAATGCGCATCCTAATTCCTTCAAATTTTAGAAGAGATGACATTATTTTTAGGGCATACGCTTTTGCGTATAGTAAATCATTGCGTGTCATGGTTTGCGCGTCATTAAAGGCCTATATTCTAGTAGTGTGGAATGATAAAAACCCTAGCTAGTTGATCAAACTAACAAGAATTAAAAATCAAACGTTCATTAAGTTCAAAACAGAAAATTCTAGATAGAAACACAAAACAAAACCCAGATCTGAAAACTAATCACATGAAAAGTACTAGTCTATGCAGAACTGAAAACTAAGGTCTAGCTAGACATGGCTTAAAACAAAACTAAACTAGATAAAAGAAACATTTACTGATAAATCTACAGAAACTAAATGTGTGAGATGATTCACAGTCTTCAAATCTCCAAAAGTCGCTGAAAGGTATCAGGAATCGTCTTCAGAAGGGTA